AGTTAAAACATGAAGTTACTTTAAAATGGTTGATAATAGGCATGAACTTTGATTTTAGTTTTTATGAAAAATAGTTTTTTATTTTTCAAAAATTTAAATTACTATATTGATTTAAACGTGATTTTTTTTAACTCAATAACTAGTGTGATGTGATATTAAGAAAAACATAATAAATTTTAATTTTAGAGTAATTAAAAATATTTTTTTATGGAAACCAAAATAAAAAATATCAGTATTAAAAGTATATTTAAGCTTAATTTAAAATATATTTAGATAAAATTATAAGTACATAAAATTAAATACTATTTTATAAATGAAAATGGTCAATTGCTATTTACAAATATAAAAAATGCAGAAAGTGGTTCCACTGCACATCACCCTAAACTTGAGTAAATGTGTTTTCTCTGGTGTGCTGTGTGACTCCATTTCTTTTGTTTATCATTGAGAACTCTGAAGAATTGAGCAAGTTTTGATCTGGATTCCTAATGCTGTGGTCGTTTTGTTAAAAATTTCAGAATCTCAATGGAAAACTCAGACCACGACGAACCCGAGAAGAAGAGGCCTCATCTCACCTCTGTTTCTTCTCGCACATCTAGAAACTCCATCAACTCTCCTACCACCAACAAAACTGTAAGCCCTTTTTCTCTCGCTATATGTTTTTGTTGTGCATCCATGTGTTCATATATATGTTGCTTTTCACCTCTTTCATTACACTATTGTGCTCTGTTGATGATCCGGTTCTGAATTTTTGTAGAGTTTGCTTTGAATTTGGTGTATAATTGCATTCTTTGAACTGCTTGGTAATGTGGACACAGAATGAATTGTTTCTTTTAATCTGGGTGGATGAAATTTTGGATAAAGTTTTGATTTTTATGACAAGGGGGTAACAGAGAGATTGTGCTTATTGTCAACTTAGTAAAGTCCATTAACGAACTTAGCTTCTTAAGATAATTATTGGTGATACTTTTTTACTAGTTATAGGAAAAGTACATGATGTATGCTGTAAACAAAAAAGAAAAAGGTAGTGAGAAAGAGAATCAAAATATCTGTAGTAAGTTTTAAACTAATCTCGTGACAGTTGAGAATTCTAATTTATGCATATATCATTCTAAAAGAGAATTACAAACGAAAAAAATTGGTGTGGTTACTAAGGGGTTTAGCTCACTTCATTGAGCAGTGTGTGTGGGCTGCCAAGAGGGGAGTAATTAGCAAGGGTGACTTTGATGTCTTGTGATTGTTGATGTTTTCATGACACTGAGAGCCTTTCATTTAGAAGAGTNAAAGGTAGTGAGAAAGAGAATCAAAATATCTGTAGTAAGTTTTAAACTAATCTCGTGACAGTTGAGAATTCTAATTTATGCATATATCATTCTAAAAGAGAATTACAAACGAAAAAAATTGGTGTGGTTACTAAGGGGTTTAGCTCACTTCATTGAGCAGTGTGTGTGGGCTGCCAAGAGGGGAGTAATTAGCAAGGGTGACTTTGATGTCTTGTGATTGTTGATGTTTTCATGACACTGAGAGCCTTTCATTTAGAAGAATCAGGCAAGGGTTTTTATGAGCATTGAGATGCTTAACTAGATTCAGGTAAAAAAAATGTTTGGTTTCTTGTTTATCATGCAATTACTCTTTCTGTGTGGCATCAAGATTCTTTTTCAATGTTAGTTGTTCAATAGTTTTACTTGTGTAACGCCGGATGGTATGCTCCCCCAGGCTGATGCAGGAGTCTTACAGTTTCAGAATCAGCAGCTTGTTCAACAGATCGACGTCCAGAAACATGCTTTGCATGGCCTTGAAGAAAAAATTAGAGAATTAAAAGGAAAGCAAAGTTCTTATGATGACTTGTTAATTGCTTTGAACCAACTCTGGACTCAGGTTATTCTTTATCATCATGCTCTGGTTTCTTTCACCCTCCGTTGAGTTTAGTGTTCTCCTCTCTTGAAAATAGCACTACCATATATAGAGTATGCCCGGGATGTCATTGGATGGCAGGCAATGCACTTTTTCTCATATTCCTGTAGGATAATATGCTATCTGGCTTAATTTTCTTATGTCTTTCTAGTTGGTTGACGATATGATTCTTCTTGGAATACAAGCTGGGAGAGGCAAAGGCAAAGACAAGTTGCGGTATTTGACTGACATTGAAAATCCTGAAGGTATATACACACCTACAAGTACTCTTTTCTTAGTGTAAAGGTAATTAAATAGACTGACTTGACTTACTCTCTAGGTTCACTTCCTTTGTGTCCTGCTGAGGATATATTTCTATGTAGATTAATCCAGAAAGATTCCATTAAAGGAATCAGTGATGATGAGATCACTGGTTATGTTGAGGAGGCCCTTGGTTTGCGTCAATCATCTACAATAGAGTTGTTGAAACTCCTAAAAGATATTATTGATGATCAGATGGAAAGATCAGACGGTATAGCTCAGCTTTTGGACGGAGATATATCTTCAGAAGGTAAAAAATAAGATATGCAATCCTGTTGTTGAAGCATATAGTTTTTGTTTAAAATATTTTTATATCATATATCAGTGTTGTAGAATAGTTAGAAAATATTTATACAAATGACCTGTTGTTACTCATTCTGGTTTGCAGATGCTATAACCCTAATGACTAAGATTGATGATATGATGAAAGAGGAGGCAAATAATTTGCAAGAAGTGATTGATACTCTCCATGCAAAGCATAAAGAGTATACTGTTGGTATTCAAAATTTTATCAATGAGTGCTTACAAGAAAAATCTGATATTAAACATCTAGCAGGTCTGTAAAATGTTCTTTTTTTTCTTTTTCTTTTAAATTAGTTATTGTGAACTTTAGAAATAAAAAAATGTGAAATTTAATGAACTTGATTATCATATGCTATGGTTTAAATGGATTACAACATGGTTTAATAGAAGAAGATTTCCTCGTATTTAATAGTCCTTTTTTTTCTGTTAAAGTGGTAATATTATATGTTGTATGAATAAATCTCCCATTTGATCCCCAAATATGTATCATTCATTTAGACTGAATTTATGTAATAATCCTTCTAGAAATGAATTGAATGTTTTGAAAAAATTTCAAGGACCAAATGGGGCCTTGCTCCAAAATTTTTGGAGCTTCTCTTACTGGAAAATTGTTTTTGAATGTCTTGCACACATTATTCTTCTCTTATTGCTTTGGTAATTGATTAGCTTTTTGTTTGAAAATTATTTTCGTTTTGTAACTCTTTCTTTATAGATGAACGTGCTTAAAAGGTTAAGCTAAAGTTAAATTAGGAAATCTTTTATTCAGTCTATATGATGCTATGTAAAAGAATGCATAGTACTTTGATTAGACCAGCAATCTTCCTAAGCGATAGTCATTAAAAGTTGAAAAGTCAATCAAGCTACGTAGTTTGGAATGAGCTGATCTTGTTTTATCCAATTGAAAAATGGAAGAAAATTTGTTAGTGCGGAATGAAACATTTTTAAGAAATTAATATGATTTATAGTTGGATTATTTTATTGGAAAATTATAATATTGAAATTTCTTGTTTTGCAAAATTATAAAATAGGTATTGATTTGATTTTGAAATCCTATTGATTTTAGATTTGTATAAATCCTACATCCAATTTGGTTGATTTGGGTGGATATGTTTTTATTTTAGTTTTAATTGTTGGATATACCAATTCATGTGCACGTTTTAAGGTTGGTGAATAGAAGAACAACTACTTAAAAAAGTTGACTTAGGTCATGACGCTCCCACCAATTGAGGCTTGGGGGGTTGATGTACTTGCCCTACTAGTGGATAGGCTAGTTGGAGGGTTTGAACCTATGGCTGATCACAAGGCAGCAACCTTACCATTATGCCAAGGCTTGCTTGTAAGCTTTTCTGAAATTCAAATATAATTTAGAAATAACAACATCCTCAGAAGAGGACGATGGTTCTTTTGTCCTGTGCTTAGGAGGGAGAGAATTTTAGTTATGCAGTTGCATAATTCAATAATGTTGGAAAATTATAAAGAAGAGTTAAATTACAGTGTTTTAATTGGTCTGGTTAAAATTAATCAGGAATCGATATGACCAGAATTAATGTCCTTAGATTTATGCAGAGATTTTATGCGTACTTTTAGAAATCATAGAAGGAGAACTGTGATTGCTTTTATTTTTTGGCTGATTGCTTTTCATAATCATCACTAGAGTATTTTCTTGTCTTATGTAAAGGTGAGCTTGATGAGATTGTGGCTGAACTTGAAGAGAGTAGAAGAAAACTAGTCAATTTGGAAATGCAAAAGGATACGTCAATAGGGATGAATTCTCCCAATGCAGATGCAGTAAATGGAAATCTGTCTCCTGAAAACATTGCGGACAGGACCATGGGTTTGCGTGAGTTGAAGGATTCAATTGAAGAAGCAAAGGTTTTGCTCACGTGATTTTCTTTCCCTGAATCTGTAATTCCTTTGTCCTTGTTCTTTATCTAAAGAAGATATATGATTGCATAATATCATAGATTGTGGAAGCTGATCGTATCTCTGAGCTCCAAGAGGCACAGGAAGACAATCAGACCTTGACAAAGCAATTCCAAGATCTTCAGGTTTGTAAGTTTGGATTATCTAGTATGATCATATTTTCTCGAATTGTTGAGATCAGTTCGTTATAGAATCCCATGTAAAAGTTAGTTTCATCTATATTTATTTCCAGAATGAACTGAAAGATGATAAGTACATACGCAGTTCACGAATATACTCTTTAGCTAATGATCAACTTCAACATTGGACATCTGAATTGACGCGGTATAAAACATTGGTAGAATCTCTGCAGGTTAACAGTGCTTTCCTTTTTTTTTTTTTCCTTTAGTTGTATTACAGTTTGGTTTTAATTTCATATTTGCGGTTTCCTCTTTTACAATTTCTTTTAAATGTTATTTTAGGCTGGCAGTGTTCATATTGCAAAATGGGAGAATGAACAAAATTTGAAATTGGAGTCTGCTGATTCTGCAAGGCAGCTCCTTGACAATTCTGATCATAGGATTGATGACCTAGAGCACCAGTTGCAGAAGTGTATTATTGAAAAGAATGATCTTGAAATTAAAATGGAAGAAGCTAAACAGGATGCTGGTCAGCCTTTAACTTGTTTTGTGTTAGAATTGTGATGGATGTGATTTGATCGCTCAGTTTCTTACAGTGTTATATATTTCAGGGAGAAAAGATATCAAATCTGAGTTTCGTGTCATGGCTTCAGCTTTATCTAAAGAAATGGGAATGATGGAAGCTCAATTAAAGCGATGGAAAGATGCAGCTCACGAGGCTGTATCATTACGGGAGAAAGCACATTCACTAAGAGAAGTATTGAACGTGAAGGTTGTTGCACAAACTCATTTGATATTAATATAATTTGCCATTTCATTTTCTTTCCCACCCACTTTGTGACAAGTCTTCCAAATAAATTTATCTAGTTAGATTGAATCTACAATGTTCTCTGCTTTGTCACTTACAAGGAATTTGGGTTTCACAAGAGCATGTCTTTTAGCTGACTTAATTTTTGTTGTTAAATGTAAAGAAATGATTCAATCAAATGCTAACCTGGCTTGTTTTTGAAATATTACTCTAGCATACCGGAACAAGTAAAAGGACTTTTAATTCAGTATAAAGTGACATTATTGAATGCAATAAATATATCCTTCAAAATTGTTAATTGTTCCTATAGACATTGAATTCCAAGTGTCCATTTCTTTGTTTAATGAAGATGATGCAGTTCTGTATGCATGTTAAATTATAGCAAGTCAATGAAAGACTTCTAAATTGATGCAAGTTAACAAAAAAAATACACTTCCATTGCAATAAATCATGGTTACTGGATAAAACACTATGGTTAGTATATGATAGTTTGTGGTTATAAATAAAAATGGAATTTTTTTTTGTGGACTAACCACCTTGAATTTAATGACATAAAATTGTTAGTTGGAAAAATGAAGGAAGAGCATATGGGTGGAAGGTTTTGCCACTTACCACTAGTAGTGTATAGAGTAGTTTACAGTTTTAATCAGTTTAGTACTTAACTAACTAACTACAGTCAGTTAGGGCGAGCTGTAGTCTAGTCAAAATAGGCTGCACAAGAACTTATTTATTATATTTAAATACCTGAAATTTTAGTTTACATAAACCTCTCTCTCCTTTGGCTTAGTTCTACTTTCTTCAAATACAAACAGTATCCACTGTAAATAACTAACTGCAGTCAGTTATGCTGAGCTGTCAGTTAGCTATGCTGAGATGAAGACTAGTCAGCATAGCCTCCATAGCAAGTTACTGGTTCTACATAGATACCTGTATTTTCAGTTTACATGAATCACTCTCTTTCAGCTTAGTTTTACTTTCTTCAACCACATACAAGATATACCTTATTAGCATTAAGGTTGGCTAATTACTTTGTTGTGATGCAGACAAGTGAACTAAAGAGCCTTGCAAACAAATGTGCTGAGCAGGTTTTGGAAATCAGGTCTTTAAAAATGCTGGTAAGTCTGCCTTGGCCTTTAACTTTGTGTCACTCTTGATCTATAGGCATTTTCTTCTTTAATGGC